AAATGTATGAAGCTTAATTGGAATTTCCCGAGGGGAGGGGGGTCTTCCGTGGGGGAGGTATGGATATTTTCTGGAACTACACATTTAAGAAATAGAAACATTTTCTGTGTTTCTATCTAGTTATAAAAACATGATTAGAAATTTGAGAGAACAAGAAATGTTGTGAGAACACAAGCTCAACTTTCATGAGCATCACTGTAACTCCATAGAAAGAAAGAGAATGTTTTTTATTCCTTTAAAAAAGCACCAAGTAAACAGGGGTTTCATTAAGAGCTAGGGACCAGGGAAATTGATTGCAGATTCTTACAGGGTATATTGTAAAAGTTTAATATCAATATATATATTTTTTTTAAATATCATTATTTGTAAAATCCTTCTGCAGGTTCATTGTTATTTCAGAATTTGTCCCTTGCCTGTGTTAGCAAGTGGTGTTCAGGAATTCTCTCTCTTGCTGCTGATGCTTGTTTTAATGACAAGTCCAGCAAAGAAAGTTCTCACGAAAGTGAATTTCATAACTGTCTAGTGGCACTCTTTGTTGATCAAGATGATGATCTTGTGGAAGTTATGTTGCTTCTCCTTTTGCTTTTTCAAGAAATCCACCAGTAAGTGTTACTAGAAAATTAAAGATGTTTTCTATTATATTATTATAGTGCCATATCCTACTGCATACTCATTACCTCATTGCATAAGATTAAGTTATGGGAAGAGTCCGCGACTGATGAGGCAATAGGCATGCAGTGAGGATATGAGCAGATAGGAGCTTGGTCAACTGCCACCAGGAGAGGTGGCAAGTGGCAAAAGACGACTGTCTTTGTGGAGTACAGGACGAAAAGACCACACTTCAAGTGGAGAGACCAAATTTAAACTCCAAATGGCGCAAAGCATTACTGACGCTGCCAGCATGGGCGAAAACGGGGGAATGTGATGGAATAACAGCATGTTTTGCAATGAGCTAATTAATTATACAGTGAGAATAGTAAAGTGATGGAAACTGGTCTTTTCTGTTAGGATCAGACAGGTGCTTATCTGTGAATATGAACACAAAAGGGCGGTATGTTTTCTTTTTCGCAAGTGCTGTGCCCAATTTTGTCTTGTCCCAGTCCCGTCTAGTCTTAAACATGTCAAACATCTCGCCTCATACTCCCCACCTGATTTTGAGTTTAAAACAGACCGTCAGTGGCCTGTAACTATTATAAAGTAATTGGACTGACTGGAGAAAGAGAGAGTAATCAAGCAATACTTGAAACATCAGCTTCAAAAACTCACTGTGACAAGTTATGTAGAATTTAGTTCAATTAATATCAGAATGAAGAATCTTTTTAAAGATATGACTAAGACTTGATTATAGGGGTTTAAAAAACCTATCCATAACTTTGTAGATTTGTTAATCTTATCAAGTTGTTATAGTTACATATTTAAATTTTCCGTTGAATACAGAACTAAAAATATAAATTTTTCTTCATGAATACCGTACAAGAGAAGAGTAACATGTTATTTTTCAGGCTAGCATTTTTCTGTTTTCTTTGTCAGTAGCATCTTTATAAGTTCAATATGTATATTTGTTCAACTCGGTGAAAAGTCAGAAAATAAGATGTACCAAAAAATTCTCAGGTTTTCCAAATTTTATTGCAAGGTCTGTTTTAGTGTAAAATCACAGGCCTTTATATCAAAACTACTTCTCTTCTCTTAATTTTTCAGAACTGTTCCTAGCTGTGGAGAAATGTCAACAACCATTTTACGCCAGTTGAACCCACACTTGCTTTTCATCTCATTTGCTGAATCAGTTGAGTTCGATCACTCGTTCCTGCTCGACCTTCTGATTTCGTCAGAGACTCGATTTCTGGAATACCTTGTGCAGTATCTACACTTTGTGATTGCTGGATGGAGTTCATTTGTGCAGTGTTTGGTGGAGTATAAAGAAAGAATTTCTTGCACTGCAGAAGAAAGTATGAGTGACGAAGTGGGGATGTGTAGTGTGAGCCTAAGCGAGTTTGAATCTGATTCTAATTCTTCTGAAAAGTCTTCGGAGTTTGAGAGTAGTGTTGCCAACGAAATGCGCTCAAGTAAAAATGAGTCGTTGTTCGCAAGACAGGAAACCATGGCTGGTGAAGACAGACAATGTCCTGAGTTGCCAGATACGTTTCCCAGGCCGCAGAACAACAGCTATGAAAAGTGCGAAATTAGCCATGAAGTTTGTCAGTCCGATTCTCGTCTTGTGGGAGTTCCAACTGGCGAGCTTGATGGCTTGACAAGCATTGTTTTGGCGTATTCTTCAAGCGATGAATCCGAAATTGAAAATGAAGATGAAGACGAGAGTGTCAATGACAATAAAACGCCTGCTGTTTCACAGTCTGACTCCATCATTTGTAGTAGTGTTCGTTCAAACAACAACCAACTTAGTGGCTCTTCGTCTTTTGATAAAGCAGACAAAGCCGAAACGTTTCACTCAACTTTTACTGCTAAGAGCTGTTCTGCTCTTCCTCAAAATGTTTCAGAAACGCCAAGGAAACACACAAGTAATTTAAACAATTCAGCATTCTCAGAACATCCAGGCTTCTCTTCAAATCAGCCGCCCGGTGATTCGAACTTAAACGTTAATGACTGCCTCGGTGATCAAAGTTCTTCGTCGAATACGGAACTACTTCCTTCAAATGACAGAAACACAGATATCTTTATCACTAAAGAGAGTCATTTTGAGGGAAGTGTCACCAATCCAACTGCTGTTGAAAGCGAGTTATTGGACAAAGTAATGACAATGTTGATTCGTCTCAGGTTGTCAGTGACGAGGTTATCGTCTGGTGGGCATTTCCCGTACCCTGCCGTACCTTTGATATCACTGATGGAGAATGTAGAGAAATATTACGATGGTTGCTGACCTGTGTACTGCGGCTAATACTAGCGCTCTTCAAGGGAAGATGAAGGGTCGGAGAGGTTATCTTCCATATAGATCTTATTCCCATTGCCAAAGGTAATCCCTCTTGAGTTATTTTTAGAGATGGTACCCAGTTCT